TGAGCGACCTGCCAGGTCCATCAGGCTGACCACGCCTACAGGAAGTAACAACAGCTGATATACGACACGTCACCACCAACACCGGGACAGTTCTGAAGATGGCTTGCAGCGAGCAACAAGGTAAATACACTTTACTGCATTGTCTTTAAAAAGAACCTAAGAAGTTAAAGTATATAAGAAGACAAAATGAACATCATTGGCTTAAGAATCCAAGAAGTTCATGCTGGTTGTTGTTAGAATTATTGTGACTTCACAACTCCACTGTGGTTTCAGAAAGAGAAAAGCTCTTATAACCTCATGTGAAAGCTCAGAGCCTCCAGAATTCCCTCCCTGAGCTGCAGAGGCTGCACTAGCACTGATTCGTGACTGGCTGCTGGCCCTGGGGTTTAGGTAGTGATGTTGTCACTATGTCACGTGAATTATTAATGATGAGTTTAAAAGAGCTTTTCACACTCTCAAAGCTGCGACGGCGACGGTTAGGTCAGTTTAGTTTTTTTTCCATTTGTACTTAAAAACCGGCAAGTAAGAAGCTCAACGTGTGCACCATGAGACATTAAAAAACAAGCATAAACAATAGACAACCTACAAGAGATTAAAGGTGCTACTGTATATTACACAAATTTAACTCTTGCAGCTTTAAGTTATGTTATAATGCTGCTACCTCCTCAAAAACATTGTGAGCGGCGTTTTGTTTTGTTTCTTTCACACATGTTTGAGTAATTCTTTGTTATCAGTCTCCAAAATTCTTTATTCCACCTTGAGATGTCATGAAGCTGTAGTTTCCAATTTAACAGCTACATTTTACCTTTAGATCAGTAGAGATTGGCAATTTTCTCATCTGAAATTATCCAAATGATTCTAGTGGAGGTGACACAGTGGAGCTTAAAAACACAGTGGAGCACTTCCTGTTTTACCAAATAACATTGCAAGAGAAGAACTCAGCCTAAATATCCAATGTGTAAGTGAAACAAAACACAACTTCAGGTCTGTTTGTAATAAGGAAACATTAAAACATAGATCAGAAAATTTAAAAAAAGAAAGTACAATTACAACTCCACTGGGCCTGTACCTTATTCTCCATGTATATGAGAAATATGCGCCTTGTCCTACTATAGATATATTGTAAAGCAGCTCTTGAGATAAAAAATAAGTCAGCTGTGTACTGATTTATGTACGTATGAACTCATTGTGCTGAATTGTTAGGATAGTCTGAATGCATAAGTTAAGTGAGGAATAACTTTGGACCAATCCAAATTGTTTTCAAATGAAGCTCTGATTTTCAAGTTTTTAAGTACAGATCCTTTTCACACTCTCAGAGCAGCAACTGTGAAGGTTAGGTCACTTTATTTTCCATTTGGCGTCAAAAAACCACCCAAAAACACGTGCTAGAAGCTTTAAGTATTAATATCAGAAGGTGGAAAGGAGTGTTTTTCTCTTTGAGAGAAGAACTCAGCCTAAATGTGCAGGATTTGATTCTTTGACGTGTGTGAATGAAACAAAACACAACTTCAGGTATATCTGTGTTGAGGAAGCAACAGATAATAGCATAATATGGGTTTTTTAAGTAATTTAAACACTTAAAACCACTGAAAATCTCTATAAAAGAGGTCTAAAAATACTTGATAAAAAAGCCCATTTCCCAGCACCACTGTCACATACTGAAAAAGTACAGGCTAATATGGTCAAACTCAAAAGGGCTTGTCTAATTTATAAGGTCATACACTCCCTCGCACCACCACCATTAATCAATTACATTAAATGTAAAGGTATTTCAGAAAGAATCACGCGAACCACCACCAGGGGTGACCTGGTCATACCCCACAGATGGACCACCTTTAGTCAGAATGTTTTATCTGTCCAAGGTGGAATTCTGTGGAACAGTCTTCCACTAAACCTGAAAGAATGCCCTATATACAGCTCTTTTAAAGCGCCAATGAAAAATTGATTATGGTCAAACCAAACATGTACACATGTATAGCTGCAATGATGGGATGTGAACAGATGCTATGGATGGAACTATGTAAATGATGGGAAGTGTGCAATATTTAATAGTATGAGTGGCAGTGTGGTCCCCTATGTCCCCAGCCCTTTGGGACAATGGATGGAAATTAGCCTTAGGCCACAATCCGGTGTGTTTACATTCATGTTATCATGTTTGTCCATTAACCTGCTCTGTCCCAATCAAATAAATAAATAAAATAAAATAAATGTATTTACACTGTTTGTGTGATAAGAGACATGTTTGGGCGTGTTATGTTTTCAATATTTGACTGTCTTATGTTTGAGTAGAAGAAGAACTTTAGACAGGAAGTTGTTGTTCAGGCCTCACTTCAGCAAAATGGCCGCTCTTCTGTTCTGGTGTTTGTTTAAGCATCGTCTGTAAATATTACACGGTAAAACATAATTATACACCTATAATATTGCCTTTTGTGTTTGAAATATACTAGTTAGCACATTTTTGGTGCACAATTGTTATGTAAATTAGCCAGCTATGATAATTTGCTAATGCTAATCGTTATGCTAACTACTTAGATTCACTGACTGTCACTTTAACTGTTGGTGCTGTTTATAATTTGTAAATATTATCTGGCACTGATATTAATTGTCGTTTCTGTGTTTATTGTTGCAGTTTGACAAAAGTTGGAACCATTAAATTTAACGAAAAGTCATCTGTTTGTGAAGTTTCATGTTTAGCTGTTTGGATAACTAATGCAACATCTAGTGAGGCCATTTACAGGGTGTGTGTCAGATACATGGACTCGTGAATTCCCGTGAGCACTGGGAGACTCCACGGAGCAGAGACAGTCCTAACGCGAGTCGTGCGTATACTCTTTAGTGATGTGTCGACGGCGCTGTGTGATTTGTGTGCGTCCGCGGGCTGTTGTTAACTCCACAGTTTGTCATTGAACTGTTGCCTGGGACCACACGAAGGTAATAACGCGAGAGTGCAGCTGTTCAATTGTTTTCCCATTGTTTCCCGTAGTCACTGAGTCCACGCTCCAGGCACGGGGTCCCCTATAGTGCGCACAAGTTCTTTAAGAAAACTCACAAATATATTTATTCAGCAAGACTTCACACCGATATTTATTTAATTTATTTGTCTAAAATATAAAGTTAAGTTGTGCAAGCCTGACTTTTGCTTCTCTCTATTGATATATTTCAACTAATGATTTTCTATGCTTCATTTTCTTGCCCTTTTTAAATTGTTTTTTAAGATGTTTGTACAAGTCTGTATATTTTAAAGGTACACTGTGTAACTTTTCTGGTGGTGGGTATGCCACCTAGCCTCATTCATCAGCCGGTTTCACTTTGTGGAAACTGTATTAGGATTCGTTCACTCGACAGTAGGCAGGCACTTTTTTTATTTAACCAATCGCTGCTGTTTGGTCGTGACGTATGTAATGCGCCAAATCCCGTAGGAAGAAGGGCAATAACGTCTTTCTCCTTAATAAAATTCACCAAACATTCTCTTTGTTACGGCTTTAAATCCTCGATCTTGAGAATCGTTGCCAACACAGAACGTCTGCTTTGTTTACTGTTGTTCTGTACCACAAAAGGGACCCAGACAGACGCTTGAGTTTGACATCATGGCTTCACAGCTCTTTGCTGATCGACCGGCATGTGGTCTACAACTTCTGGGGTTCTTGCAAACCGTCTAGTGTATTCCGATTCCTGACCTAGTTGCTGGAGAGAAATTAAATTGAGCGGAGGCATTGGGTGGCGCTGACCTGGCTATACGCCACCTGCTTCTCTCCATGAAGATAATTTTTGTCAAGTGTTTGCCATTTGTGGTTATTTTATTAATCCTGTTTATGATTCAACTGATGCAAAAATGTGTGTTTTCTAAAGATAAGAACTTTTAGTAAAAGTTCTAAAAAAAATAAAGTAAAGTTAAGCTACAAGTATGACTGATAATACAAATAAAGCTTCTGTCTGGTGACTTGCTGTGTTAGCTGTGTGCAGTAGCCTCAAACAGGAGGGTGAGTTACTCAGGTGGATGTAAGTTGAGCTCGACAGCGCAGGCCGGATGTGTCCCACAGGCCCTCACCATATGTTCTGAAAGGTACTGACCTCGCTGTGACTGCCTGGAACAAAGTTGACAAAAAATTATTAAATATGAATTAAGTTTGAAATTGATCACCACTTTTATAGTTTGCCGTGACCTTGGTTTAGAAGTGCTGTTGTGAAGGATTGAGTTAAGAGTCGCCTGAGCAGCCGGTCCTTTTCACATTCTGTTCAAACCCTGAAGGGTCTGGAACCTGCTTCATAAAACGTCATCATCAAATCATCTTGGGACAGTCCAACCACTAATCTGTAGCATGTGTCTCTCAAATGACATCTCATGAAAATTCTCATATCGCTGTTTCTCAGTGCTGTGTTTTTCCTCCTTTTTCGACATGTAAGCTGTTTGTTTTGACACACATGGCCCACAGGTTTGTCTCGGTTAATCTGCCTGTCAGTCATGACCATTGGAAATTGGGAAACATCTGTTAGCTATTTTGATTATTTAGTTTGTATTTGTTGCAGTGAGTGAGAGAAGTGTCTGTACAGTGTCAGTAATATAGTTTGAAGCATCAGTGTTGTCTTCTGTGTATTCAGTTGTCAACTTTGAACAACAGCTGGTATCGTGCCACAGAAGATGCCAGCTGTGCAATGTTGACAACTGAATAGGTAAAGTTTTGGAGCTTAGACCCAAAAGACATTACTGATGCACAGAGGGGGTATCTTATTGTTTTGTATGTTTTTTATCCAGATCTATTAGGGATGGGCATGATTGATTTGTAGAATTTTGTCGATCATGTTCATTTTTAATCGACAACCGAATGTAGGTTGCCGTGCGTAGCGTAAGGAGACCAAGCTGAAGACAATTTGGTGAAGACAAGTTGGGAGTGAATAAATAGAAAAGCTTCGGGGACTGAATGTTTCTCAGGCAATAACTAGCATAAATAAACTGCATTTGACTAAAAAACTATTGCTTTTCTGTCCGTTCCTCTCCTCAGGCCTTCGATGCGTTCATCTACATCTTCTTCGCGTTGGAGATGGTGGTGAAGATGGTCGCTCTGGGGATCTTCGGGCAGCGCTGTTACCTCGGAGACACGTGGAACCGACTGGACTTCTTCATCGTCATGGCGGGGTGAGAATTTAACTTTATTTTCCTTGTACAGAAAGGTGTTTTCTCTGTATTTGACCTCATCCTCTTGCAGCCCTACTATGTGGCAAATATAGTGTAGTGTGGAATTTCTTTTGTTTGTTTGGGTTTTGTTGTGCTAAAATGCCACAGAGCGCTGTTGAACTATTTGTGTATCGCTGTAATAATAATAAAATTCAGAGAACAAAGTAAGTACATAGAAGTGGGCGTATATAATAAAGATTACTCAGACATGCATGAATCACTTTAAATACAGCTTAAGGGAATGATGTTGGGATTTGCAGCATGGTGGTTGAGTGGTTAGCACTTACAATGCAAAAACTACATCTAGTCATGTTAAAATTACTTGAATTAAGAAAGTTTTATTCAAATTTGAGTAAATGAGCTTTGGGTAACGACCACAAGGACAAGGTCGCGGACAAAATAGAGTGAGGAGCTCAGTCACCCTGTAGGAGTTCGGAGTAGAGCTGCTGCTCCTCCACCTTGCGAGGAGCTGCTGAGGTGGCTCGGGCATCTGTTCCGGATGCCTTCTGAGCGCCTCCCTTGGGAGGTGTTCCAGGCATGTAAGGAGGCCCAGAGGAAGACCCCGGACACGCTGGACTATGTCTCTCGGCTGGACTGGGAACCCCTTAAAGATCCACACCTGCCCAGACCCGTTAACATTCCACCCGTTACCGTCCATGTCCATGATAACCCAGGACTAACCCAGGACTAACCCAGGACTAACCCAGGACTAACCCAGGACTAAGGTGTGCCTGCATAGACTGTTGGGTGAGCACAGGCAAAAGGACCAGCGCAGCTCCTCGCTGCATGGAGGTAAACGCAGTCGTCACCCGATCGCGCTTTGAGGACACCATGCTCTGCGTGCTCTCTTAAGTCCGCGGGTACCTGACCAGGTGCAGAATTCTGGCCTGAGCTGCCACAGTGAGGCTGGAGAGATGCAGTAGCACTTGTTCCAAAGCCAAATGTTACTTCTCCCACACAACACATACTATATCCACACGACAACCAAGGTACATGTGCATCTTCAGAAAGAGTTCTCAAAGCCGTTGTAAATATTATAACTCTGGGGGATGTGGGGTGGGGGGGGTGCGATATCATCGCATACAGCGCGGTTGAGCAGCTATACCACACCGCAGAAGAAATTTCCTAATCACGACAGCCCTAGTAGTGAAGATGTACAGTGGAGCACTTACTGTATTACCACATGAATGTTTTTGTCTTAAACATGTGTGAATGAAACAAAACACAAGTCCAGGTCTGTTTGTGGTGAGGAGACGACAAGATTAATATTAAAACAGATCAGATAACAGTGTAATATTGTCTCTTTAATAACCTGAAACCTTCTCGCTATCTGACGAACCAATTCACAATTACCAGAAACGTACAAACTTGTTTTTTATGATCAGTTTTTGTGACATCGCATTGAACCGCGCCATCTTTCAGTGTTTACCAAATCCTTATCTAAAGTCATTTCACAAACGAACAGGCAGCGTTGTTGTACAGACTTGTTTTGGGCTCACACGGGGGAGTACTTTGATTTGACACTTATCTTAGCGTACGCAATTTTACACCTGTCACTTTAAGCTCCTTACTATCATCTGAATAATGCACGATGAACTCTGTAAAGTGTTAAATTCAACCCGCATTTATTCTCACTCAGTCTAGATGTGTTTGACTCAAAATGGAAGACTTTGGAGCTGTGTGATTTAGATTTGAATACGTTTTATTTCAAAGTTAGAATGAAGGTCGTGCTGAAATTTTTTTTTTTTTTACATTTATGAATACGCAATATCGAGTTGAGTTCAAGAGGCTTTGTTAATTCCGAAATGAAACTTAATATTCTAGCCTTGCTCAGTAACGTTGCGTAACTTAAAGGTGACGGTTTATGCAGAATTGGCCTTGAGGAGTTTGAAACCGTGTTATAATCTTTCCTCTTCTCATTTACCCGCTTGAAGTTGTGCCAAAAGTGATTCTTGCAATTTTGAGTGTTCTTCTGCATTCAAGAGGCCATTGCTTTGGAATTCCCTGTTTTCAACTACCCCCTATACCCGCCTACTGCTCTGTCCTGACTTCATTTTCCAATTTGGTATTTATTTATGAACTTAGCAGCTCCGCAGTCAGTGGATGGGTTTTTATTAGCAAAATGTGTAAGATCTTTATTGCAATTTGAGATTAAAAAAAAAAAAAATTTATAAAAAAGAAAGAATCAGTAAAAAAGAAAAAAAGTGTATCCGTGTTGTAGATTATAACTATATAACAGACAAAAGCATAGTATGTTTTCTTTAAAGTGGAATTAAAAACTAAATCCAGACTAAATAACATCTAAGTCTGTGCTGCCTTCAGTGGCTTCTGCGATTTCAAGTAGTTGGTGACATCACAAAAGACTGTCCTGATTACAGCCAGGAGTTTCGGATGACAAACACCGGGCTGCAGGGGCGGAGTTTGAAGTGTGGATACTTGTTCGACCAATCACAGTGTGACCTTATACCTCCAGACCCCGCCCCTTTAGTCCTCCAGGTTCTGTCCACTTCAGCAGCTGTGTTTGAAATGTGTCACAATTTAAATAATTAAATCTTCATTGTTCTTCTTCGTTGTGGTGGCGTTAGGTTTGAACTTGTCCCCATAGCTTAGCTTTGTACTACTACTACTACTACTACTACTATTAATACCACTACTACTGCTACTTCTACTAATACCACTACTACTAATATCACTATTACTACTTTTACTACTACTAACACCACCACTATTACATCTACCACTATTTCTACTACTACTACTGCTACCACAATTACTACTACTACTACTGCTGCTGCTACTACTACTTTTACTACCAGTACTACTACCACTGCGGCTACTATTACTGCTACTACTACTACTACCACTAATAATAATACCACTACTACTACTACTACTACTACTACTACTACTACTACTACTACTACTACTAGTACTGCTACTACTGCTGCTGCTACTACTACCACTACTACTACCACCACTACTGCTACCACTACTACTACCACTAGTACTAGTACTACTACCACTACGGCTACTATTATTGCTACTACTACTACCACTACTACTAATATCACTATTTCTTCTACTACTACTACTACTAGTACCGCTACTACTACTACTACTACTACTGCTACTACTACTACCTCTACTCCTACCACTACTAGTACCACTACTACTACTAATAATAATAATACTAATACCAGTACTACCACCACTACTGCTCCTACTACTACTATCACCACTCCTACCACTACTACTACTAGTACTACTACTAGTACTACCAAAGATACACATAGTAATTATTGTGCCTGGTCTAATTCAGATGCAAACCCAAAGTATAATTGATAAAAACTCTCAGACTGATCGTGGAGATGTTCAGCCGGAGATTTTCAGAGGAACAAACAAACCTCTACAGAGTCACCGAGCCTGGAGGTCATTCATCTTCATTTGTGATCTCTCCTCTCTCCTCCCTCATCTCTCTCTCCTCATCCCCTCATACTCCTCTTATCTTCTCACCCCTCTCTCGCTATCTGCCCTTTCCTCCTTTTCCATTTCCTCTCCTCTCTCATTTCTTCATTATCTCTCCCTCCTTTTCGCTTATCTCCTCCACATCTCACTTCTCTTCTCTCCCTCCCTCCTCTCCTTCTCCACACCTCTTCTCATCCCGCTCATCCTCTTCTCTCCCCCTCTTCCCTTCTCTCCTCTTCTCCTCTCTCCCTCTCATTTCTCTGTTATCTCTCCCTTCTTTTCGCTTATCTCCTCTCCATCTCACTTCTCTTCTCTCTCCCCTTTTCTCCTTTTCCACACCGCCTCTCCTCCCAATCATCCTCCTCTCCTCTTCTCCTCGTTCCTCCTCTTCCCTTCTCTCTTCCTCTCACCCCTCTCTACCCATCTTCCCTTTCCTCCTTTTCCATTTCTTCTCCTCTCTACCTCTTTTTTCTCTTATCTCTCCCTCCTTTTCTCTTAATTTCTCTCCAGCTCACTTCTCTGCTCTCCCCTCTTCTCCTTTTCCACACCTCCTCTCCCCCAATCATCCTCCTCTCCTCTCTCCTCCTCTTCCCTTCTCTCTTCCTCTCACCCTCTCCTCCCATCTCCTCTCCATCTCTCTTCCATTCTCTCCCTCTTTCCTCCCTTTTCTCCACTCTCTCCTCTCCTTCTTTCTCCCTCCTCCTCTCTCACCCTCTCTTCTGTTCTCTTTTCCTCTATCCCTCTCCCTTTCTTTCATCACTCCCTCCCCTCCTCCCTTTCGCTCATCCATCCCGCTCTCTCTCTCCGTCTGTGTTCTCCCTCCTGTTGGACGCCTCTCCTCCTCTTTTCTCGCCTCCCCCTTTTCCCCCCTCCCCTCTCATCACCCGTCCTTCCCGTCACGCCTGTCTCTGCGCTCCCTCGCTCCCTCTCTCCTCCTCTTGGCAGGCTGCGTTAGATTAGCGGCGGGGCTAATTGCGGCGGGCAGTGCCAGGCGTCGGGTGCCAAAGGGCTGTCGGCGGTGTTATATGTGCGCGCGGGTGAGCCACGGGTGCCACGCTGCTGCCTCTGCCCGCGCCTGGATGAATGCTCCGCTTGTCACTTTAGGCTGAAGTGGACCAGATCGCGCCCAGTGGGGTCTTAAAGAGGCCCGGCGCTTTTGAGACTTCAAGTGTCTCCTTAGGTCTGCTTCACAAACTATTAAAATACAACCAAGTACAGTATTTTTTGGACTATAAGTCGCACTTTTTTTCATGGTTTGGGTGTTTCCTGCGACTTATACTCCAGTGCGACTTGATATTAAAATTTTCACATTGACAGTTGTGAAAGGGCGCTCTAGTCTTGTGTGTCAGTATCTGCTGCTCCTGTTACTCCTGTACCACTGTCACTTGGCTCTACTGCGCATGTCTCCTGCAGAAGGAGCCTCTGTCCTGTCTGTATCATGTCGATCGATCACAGCATTACTTCTGCACCACTGAAAATTTTAATCTTAAACTAAT